AAAAAAGAAATGCCTGACTACTATCCCAAGCATTGCTGGTTTTAGGTTAGTAAGCCGTGGAAATAAATAAAAATGGGCCTGCTATACGCTGCTGCCTTTACCTTACTCTTTTTATTTAATTTCAACTGAATTATATTGCTATTGTATACAGGGTTGCTGTTCCGAGGAATTTACACAAGATCTCTTTGATTCAAATAGCAAAGTGGAGACATGCACTGAGACAGCCTCAAAAAAGAGGAAATTCTCTCAGACTCCTAATGCAGTCCCAAGGAGGGACAAGTTTAATCAAACTATTAAACTATGTACTTATTGTGGAATCAACATGGATGCAAATGTTACTGGAAATAATGAGAAGGTAAATTACAAGCGCCATTATGCAACTAAACACACAGTTGATGTCAAAAACGAAATTGATGGAGGGTGTGAAATGGATACAGTGGACATTAAACAGTTTGTCATGCACGTTGACAAACTTAGTATTGTTCTAAACAAGTTAAAGACAGCAGGATACCAAGTCATCCCAGCCTGCAAATATTTTGAAGCCAAGTAAGTTTCAGATGTGGATTACATTTAAATTGTGTAAATAAATCATTTAAGTGATTTCTAAATGACCTGAAGAATTATTGCTGTCTCATTTTCAAAGAAAATTTTTGGAGGACAATTTGGTCAAGCAGAGTACATCAGTATGTTATAATTTGTTCTCTTTAATCTGAGTAAAGAGATGACACAAGAAACTAGAGATTGATTTGTTTAATGGTTTCAACAGTTTGTGTTTAGGGAAAGATTTAGGGGTGACGGTTGGTATAAAAGAGGTAGGACTTTTGTAGAAATAAATCCTTTTCAGACCTTCAAAGCAGAAAATGATCAATATGTCATTCCAAATAGTTTCCCTATGGATCGATAGACTCAAAGTAACATTCGATTGGTCAGATTGACTCATCCTTATGGTCTAAAAGGCATATATGTTATAACTGTCATTTGTGTTCCTTGCTTAAAAAGTTGGCACGCATGATTTCCCTGAAAAAACTGACAAGGGCTACTAATTGACCCAGGAATTTGGTTGTATCTTGTTAAATAGAAGAAAGTCCTTAAGAAAAGCTTTCTAACTTTGTAGCTTTTGTTTCTCAAGCTTTTATCAAGCTATGTAATTTGACTTTCTTCCATTTTATAAGGGACTATCACAAAACTGTGGAATTTTTTTTAGCCCTAGCGGTACTAATTCTAAACACCTTTGCCCAGATTCTTAGTAATTTTTTTGTTGGAGAAATCATATGCGCAAACGTTTCAAAAGAAGAACACAAATGTCAGTTAAAACATGCCATTTGTACCATAAGGATGAGTGAATCTGATTGATTGAATGTTATTTTGAGTCCAACGATCTAATGGCAAACTGTATTTGGCAAGTTATAGATCATTTTCAGCCATACAGTGTCTCAACAGGATTTATATCGGAAAAATTTATTAAAACGTCTCTCTAGCTAACTGATCCCGTTGATGTCTGGTTTGAATTCTTGTGTGTAGGATGTACAAAACCAGTTAACCTTGAAAAATTTTCCCTACATTCCTTTTACTTTGTACTATACAAAGCGTTTAGAAAGACAGATAAAGCAGGCTTAGGCGAAGAAGGCAGATCCAAAAAAAAAAGTCAGGGGAAGGCGACCTCTCTCTTGGCTGGGCAGCCAGTGACAGTGAAGACCTGGGCCCTGACAAGGAGAGGGACTTGTTCTTGGAGAGAGAAGTAGAACTCCTGGAGGCACCGCAACTACCACTGAACTGGGACCTCTGTGAGGGAGAGAGAGTCCTCTTGCGGCTCGTGGAGGCATAGCTCTCAGAGGGCGACTGAGACCGAGATCTTGACCGGCGCACCCTGCTCCTGCTGCTTGTAGCTGAAGAGGATGCGGCGGTGGCAGTGGCGCTGACCTGTGACCTCACCTCCAGCGAGGCGCAGGAGAGGGAGTCCTCTTCCGGGTTGAAAAGGCGAAGCTCCGTTGGGATGGCGACTGAGACCAAGATTTGGACCGGCGCGCCCTTGTCACGGGTGCAGCAGCCCCGTGCTCTTTGCGCCTGCCGCTACGGCAATCCGTCTTACACGGCCCGCCGCCGAGCGCCACCGCCGACCCCCTCCGCCAGCATCCGACGCGAAGACAGCCAGCGCTGTGACGAGAGAGAACCCCCTCTCCCCTCCTCGTCTGACCAGCAAGCAATCATTTTATGCAATCTTTCTCTGTGGCTGGTCCACTTTCAACTATTTTATTGCTCTATTGTATTTTAACCCCAGCACAGCCCCAAGCTGTTAATTTTAAGCAAATTAACTTTGCAACCTAATTGTGGCTTTTTTCCTGTCTTCAATACAAAAAAAAAAACTGTTGCTTTCTGCAATGATATCGTTTTTGTATGGTGCCCTCTTTTCACTTGCAACTGTGGTACCATTTTTATTGTGTACTTTGTATAACTTTTGTTAATAATTGTGGCTTTGGTGTGATTATGCACGGTGTGCATTCTTCTGGTGTTGTGCCCTCGCAGAGCAGCGGGGCGAAGAAATCCTAGTATCAATAAATCTTTTGAATTTTGCTGATTCAGTGAGAAAGTGACTCTTAGTATTTTGTTGAACAATTGTGAGGTTCATCATGGCTCGTGTCCCTCTCCCTGTGGACGTGTTTTCTCTGCTCTCTGATGAAGTTGACTATGAATTGGATATCCGCCGCAAACCTCACTTGATTTTGAACCTGTCCGGCAAGTGCCGTGTCCTGAACGAGAACTGGGGCGCTTCTATCGACACAGTCCGTCTGGAGGCAAAAGAAGTCAGAGAAGAACTCGAAACCACTGAATTAGAGGTGTTGTCGTTGGAGAAATGTCCACATCATCGGATCTCGAAGATGTGCATAGCCACTATCGAGTGCGCCGCGTTATGTTACGTGGCGAGACTGACGAGTTTCTCAAGCTAGCTAGAAAACTCAATTTAGTGGGAGCTGCCTGTATGCGTGCGTACCCTATGTGTGACTATCCCCAGTTTGTCCTGCCTGAAGACGACTTGGTAGCTAGAATGTCCGGAATGTCATTCCATAACAAGGAAGACAATACTCGCACCACCACTGGAAGCAAGTCGACTGACCGTAGTTGCTCTAGTAAGAAGAAGAGCAAGAAGAAGAAGAGTAGGAAGCATAAGAAGAAGTCACGACGCCGTCGTTCTTCTAGTTCAAGTTCATCTAGCTCTACGGACAGTTCTACCTCGTCCTCTTCTGACGAACATCACCAGCAGTCTCGCATACTTTGGCTCCCTGCCCTTAAGGGTGCGACTAGTAAAAGCAACAACATGTTCCCCGTCTGCAAAGTCTTGGCAGAGTATCCCGCCTGTACCAAGGGCTGAAGCATCAGTGTAAATTCTGAAGGTCTTCGAGAAATCTGGCGCACGGAGAACAGGTGCAGAAACAAGTTTTTCTTTCAATTAGATGAGGGCCTCTTGAGCTTCTCTAGACCAGCGGAATGGTTGATCTTTCTTCAGCAGATCCGTGAGCGGCTTAGCAGCAGCACTGAACACGTTGACAAACTTCCGAACCCAACCAGCCAAACCAAGGAACTGGCGGACATTCTTCTGCCTCCTGGGGTTGGGAAAGTTGACAACTGCAGAAATCTTGGCAGGGTCCGGTCGTATTCCATATTGATGAATGACGTGGCCCAGGTAGAGAGTTCGCTTCCTTCCAAATTTACATTTACTCATCTTAACCGTCAAACCAGCATCAGCTAACTTCTGTAGAACTTTCTTGATTAACTTATGGTGATGTTCCCAATCATTATTTGGAGACCATAAGAGTATATCGTCGGGAATAGTATGAAAAATTGCTCAGCGATACACTCTACTAATTTTAATATTTTATATTATTTTATTATTTTTTTAATACTTTTTAATATTCTAATAAAAAATTGTTTTAAAATAATAAAATATTCGGTGGGGACCTTCAGCTGAGGGGACCTTCCGGACGTTCCCCACCCCTCCTGGACGTTACCCCCCATTTTTTTAAATCCTTCTTTTCCATTTTTTTTAAAATAAGACGGGAGTGGCTCTGTACGTCGACGGACAAATAGTCGAAACGATTTTAAAAGAGTAATATGCGTTTAAAATTAAAAATGCAAAAATGCAATTTAAAGTATAACAGTCTAAAATCCAGGGTGAGGGTTAATTCGTAGGTAAAGCGCAGTGTAACGGCAGGTCATCGTCAGTCAATCGGCAGTCTGTCGGTATCCAAACCGCAGCCAAACGACATGTACTTCTTTATATGTTTCTGATTCAGTTTTTTACGCTGAATATAATATTACTAATTTTTTATCTCGCAATAATTTTTCTCATGTGTGCCGCACGGGAAGGGAACAAACCTTTGTAGACAAATGGTTAACATTTTTGAGTTCAGCACACCCGAATTAGTCAAGAACCGTTGAAAAATAATTTTTTCCCACTTTTCGGTTTTCTGTCCCACTGTGGGACTGTATTCTGAACTAGTCCAAACTGTAACAGTTCAGACCGTAAAAATAAAAACAGTCCGGCCTGTATTTCGAAATACAGTTCAACCGTAAAATTAAATACAGTACCTGGCCGTTAAATGAAATTTAGTCTGACGTAAAATAAAATACGGTTAGGACTGCATGCTCACTGTTATTGGCTACAGTTTTTTTTAACACTGTACCAGCCGAGAATGAGCGGCAGATTCGCCAGTGTTGCACTGATGCGTCGTTCTGCAAAAAGAGCATAAAAACTGATTTTTGTCATAAGAGGGTTCGTGTTGGAAATCTCGCTGTTTGGCTGAGCTTGCGAAGCCTTTGCTGTGATGTGGGGTGCAGAGGACTCTTTGGTCGTGTGTCTGTCTGTCTGTCTGTGTCTGTCTTTACTGGCCCACGTTTCTCTCAGACGGTAACTTTCATTGACTTCAAACTGCGCACGAAGCTTCAGAATAAGTCGAGACGTTACGAGTTTAGTTAAGAAGTTTGATATTAGATGTTTGAAGTAAACGATTGTTTAATTTGAATTCGTAGTTTGGTTAGGTAGGTTGGTAGGACAGCGCTCGAGGGGAGTGGGAGCGCAAGTGGCTCCTGCGCTCACCTTCTCAGCAGTTATTAAGCATGCAATTAAAATGCACTTTAATGAACACCATGGACCATAACCTGAGATTCTTATAACGTAGGTTGGTGTACAACTGTACATGGATGACTTTTTTAAGAGGACTGACTGTTACATAATAAAACAATTAAACACCATGTCTTTGAGAATGGTATTAGTAATTATAACAATCAAAACTGAATTGAAAACTAAGGGGAACTATTGAATGTTTGAGCCGCTGAGCGACGAGCCACATCACCACCACCAACAACAACAAAACAAAACAGCAACAAAAATATGGCGGTAGCTATAGGACATGACGGTATGAGCCAGGTATTTATGTCGAAAAGTTACTTTAAAATTAATTTGGATGTATAAAATCAACAGTTAAAATGCATTTTTTGAAATAAGTATAGAATTGAGAAGCGCCGAGTACTTCTTTGAGTTTTGATACATCGAGTCGTCATTTGTTTCATTTTGCAGTCAGCGTTTCCATTGTTCGCTGTCGCTGATTTCCGTTACCATCCAGAAGTGTACCGGTATCCCATTTGACAAGTGTTTCATGAATCTTCTTCCCCCCTGTTGTGGAATTTACATTAAAAGTATGGCTTTATAATGTGGTAGCAAAAAACCATTCCAGCAAAAAGTTGGAATGTAGAGCTGCCCACGAGTTCTACAAGTTGTACGAGAACGACACGTTGTACGCCAAATGGGAGCCTGACCCAGAGGAGTGCGAGCTAAGCGACGACGTTAAGAGGTCCCACTTTGGACTGCCTACAGCAGCAGGACAATTCATGATTGTGTATACTGTGCTGGCTGTCAGTAGTAAGTAGAAATTGACTCCTGCTACCCATTTCTGAATCGCATAACCTCGCTAAGATGTGGCGGACGTGTTCGGACAACACCTCGTGGTCTTTCACTCTTCATCACAAACGAGCTCATCCAATCACTTTACGTCAAATTCCAACCTAAAACAAACTTCTGAAAATGACGCTTACGAACAGTCCGAAGGGTGTTTGTTCGGGCTGTCTCACTCATATAATCAAGTTCGTAGTCAGGAGAGCATACAGAACCTTTGCGAACATGTACTCTTGTGGCGGGAGTTGGTTTAGCAGTTTTTTGTAAGGAATGAGAGTTACGTAGTGATGGTATGTACTGCTAAATCATTTTATGACTGGTACTTAAATCATTGACTCTGTAATTGTGTTTAAGGTAACCTTATTCCTAACCACCCCTTAATTGACGAATCATAAATTGGAGCGAACTTGAGTGACACGACTACCGAAAATGTGTCGAACTCGTCACTTACCTGTCATTGAAATGATAATAACCCGTTCCTCCCCGAATCCCTCTCTCTAGACGGCGAATTCCAGCCATCACAATGACATATGAGGTGCGAGGTACTGGCGAGCAGCTCATGACCAAATGACGGCCTGGGTGCAAATACCCAGAAAAAAACCTAACCTAACCTAGGGAGGGGCATTGGGCAGGAGCATTGCTATTAGTTAGCCCTACGACGGCCAGTTGTTTCTGACCGAAGCGACCAGATTTGCTGAAGCCGGACCGAGCCGGACGTGCTGTTCTTTGAACGTGTCCCGAAGAGCAAAACGCAGCTGCCCGCGCTGGTCCGGACAGTTCTGTCTTGTGCACTTGGACACTGCTGCCTCACGTGCCTCCATCAGCCCACGATCTCCGTCAGCTCGTCACCTGTCTCCTCATCTCACCAAGTCTGTGGTAAGTGTTTGTTTCCCTGACTTATTGTGTTGCGAGGGGGGAATCACTTGGGTTCGTAGCATTAGGGGTATTTCGCGTTATTTCTCCTGCCATTTCGGTTATTTCTTGCCTATTTTGTATTATCTCAGGGTGTTTCGCAGTATTACGCGACTATTTCACCGGCTATTTCGCGTTTATTTCGGACTGTTTCGTGGGAAGGCGTACGAACTATTTCGCAAGTGATTTCCACCTCGTTGTTTTGCACTGCAGTAGTGAAATGCACTGGAAATGCAAGTGTGTATCAAAATAAACCGGAGTGATTGCTATGCCGTGTTTGATTGTAACACAACGTTGTGCTGAGCTATCGCGCCCGCGGAAAAGAAAATCACATTAATAGAACCAGAATCAAGGTGGACAATACCAGCGAAGTTTCATGCAAAACGGGGGCATCGAGATGAGATTTGCGAGATCTAGCTCGACGAACGCTCGAAATATACAAGCCAATAGATCCGGCCTTACTGGTAGGGGTCAGTTTCTAATGAGGAAGACGATACCTAAACCAGGCTAACTCTAGCGAGCGAGGCGCACGCTGTCGTTCAGCAAAGGTGCGAGCCCTTGCCCCGAGCTAGACGGAAGAGCCAGCCGCCGAAAGAGAAACGGGGCCATAGGTCGTGCCGGCCGATTCGAGAGGAAAATATTACTGGGTGTGACAGACAGACTGTCAACAGCCGGCTCGCCTCATACTGGCTGCCGCAGGCGGCTCGAGTCGAGAGCCACCTTGACGGAACCCCTGACCCAGGCGATATCGATACGACATCGGAAAGCGGACACGGAGGTTGCGAAATCGTAGCAGTATCTTTTCGTACGTTTGGTATTGGGTAGCTGGGTACCCGACTGAGCGTCGAGGGGCGTCGCTCGGGAATTAACGGTATTAAGCAGTACAAAATGCGTACTGGAACCGAAATAAAATTCAACTCCTGAGTAAAACCCGTGTAACGGACGGAGAGGTGCAGCAACATGGTAAGCGGGAGTGCGAGGGAGAGGTCCTCACATCACTCATAACAGACCGGCCCACTCGTCCGTCTCATACTCTTGGTCTCTCGGGCGGCCAAAAACGCGATAAAATGGGGACCAATGACATCAATAGGGACTTGAAATTTCAGTAAGGGTAGCTAGATAGTACTAGTCCAATAGAAGTTGGTCCGGTATCACGACGGCCACTGGCTAGCCCATCCCACTTCATGGGTCGAAATCACGGATTTCGGAGGTACGGACCCTACCCTAAATGGTAGATTTCACTTATGAGAGACAGTGTGCAAAGTCCAGGGCCTGTGCGACAACGTTTACCCGGATCGCATTGCGATTTTCGTTTTGGCCCAACCTTGGCACCAAACAGGCACGCCATCTTGTAGGCGCTGCCCTACGCGCACGGTAGGGCCAGAGCGAACGACTCGGGCTGAAAGTGTTACCCTATGGGTCCTACTTTTTATCAGATATGAAAGATCCGAGCTTCCGACACACGCGGCGTGTCCAGGGGCCTAAATGTGCGCCCGACGTCACTCGCC